GCATTTCTCTTTTTGAATACCCTTTTGTGATATTCTTCAACCTTGCTTCTGATAGTTTGAGGGTTGATAACAATGTATTCTTTCTTCTCTTAATTTGTGTTTAGCACTCGATCTAATGTAATTCTTAGTTTTTTATAATTTAAGACTGAACTTAGCATCCACTTCTAGTTGAATCTAAGATTATCACATCTGTTATCCATAGTCTTCTTAATTTGGTTTCTGATATAGAGACTTTCTTTTTTCTTGCATATCATTCTAAGGATACATTCTATTTTAGTGATTTTTCTCAATTGCTCTGGAATCTCTTCCTGCAACTGAGGAGATGCTAGTTCTTCATCAAGGAATTCATAAGCACCTTATAGGTTCTGAATGGTCTTCTTTATATTTTCTGTGTTTTCTGTAGTCTTCATATTCCAGTTAACCTGAATTTTCTTTAAAAGAAAGTGGATCTTATTAACTTTTCTATAAGCTTCAAAATCCTTCTTTGGGATTACTGATCCTATCTTGACTTCTTTTTTTCTGTTGAAAGTAAAGTAAATTTTTTTTTCTTGAGGCACCTATATACATCCTTAATGATTATGGTTTTGAGTTCTTGCCAGGCCTTTTTGAGCTCTTGAGGATTGTTTTCAGTTTCATGCCAAGAGGCCTATGCATCAATTTTTGGAAGCTTGCGTTCTATCCAGAGTTTGAATTTCTCCTATTGTTTTACAGTGGAGTTGCCCGGGTCTGGTATTTTTTTACCTTTTGTTCTATTTTGTCTTGTATCTGGTTTTTGAGTAGATTATTTGTTGTCATTCTTGTTAATAACAGAGTATGGTCACTACCCAGTAGTGTTTTTACTGAAATATTTTTGAACTCGTATATGTTGTTTAGGCTAATTTCTAGTAGTATCCAGATATAGTTTATTCTACTGTATGCTGAGTTATTTGCCCATGTAAAGGTAATATTTCTTTTTTTTTTACTAGGAGTTTTGAACATCTATATAATTCCAGTCTTTTAGAAAGTTGAAGAGATCTATTTCAGCTTTTCTGTATCTTAGGATTGTTTTATCTGTAGATTAGGATTGATCTACTATTGGATTGACAATTGTATTGAAGTTATCCATGATTATGACTTTGAAGTGGTTTCTTTGCTTATCTAGAATCTTGTTTTGAAGTAACTGTTGTAGCCATCTACTTTAAGCTTTCCCAGATAGCAAATACACTTAATAGATATAGAGTTTGCTTCTTGTTGATAGGAAGTTGGCTCCTATTATATGTTCTTCTATTCTTTCAATTGATTCTAGCTTTTTTTCGATGTTTTTTCTAATAAGGAACCCTACTCCAGACCCTCTGGGTTTCTTATTATTACAGCTATGAAAGAATTTGTGCATTTACTGTGGATTAAAAGCAAAGTTCGCTATTTTTTCTGTAAGTTTAATTTCGCAGATTCCTAGGATATCTATATCGAGATCTTGTATGAGTCTAAATCATTTTTGTTGCTCAAGACTAATGTTGATGCCTTTAACATTATGTGTTCCAATAGTAATAGTATTATCTAAGGGTCAAGGTGATAAAAGGAGCCAATAACTAGTATAGAGTTGGCAATGGTATAGTTCTTATACAGTATTTGTTCTTTGTCTAGTTTATTAATGGTGTTTTTTTTAATTATGCTAATAAAATCTTCAAGTGATATAGTGTGTGTTGTACTAGGAAGAGTTGTATTAATTTCTGTTATTGTTTCTATAATTGTTCCTTTTTTTCAGAATGATCTTGATTTTTCTTGTACATCAGACTCTCTCCTGATGTATCTTGATTGGACTGATACTTTTTAGGAACAATTATTTCACTGACTTCCTTTTATCCTGTTCTGGTTACCTGTTTTCTCCTCAATTATGTTTATTCTATTATTTAATTGCATGAGATTGTTCAAAATTTGACATAAGGGATCTTGATCACTTTTACTTTCCAGATAAGGGCTTTGCGACCTATTTTGCAAAATTCTTCTTCTGTTATATTGATTGATTGGCTCTCTTTTACTACTGATAACAAAACATTTAAGGATATCTGATGCAGTGTATTCTTCTCTATTATTTATTTCATGCCTTATTCTATTATTGCTTCACTGTCTAATATGTCTCAAATTTCTGAACCTATGATAGCTTGCTGAGTTAGAAGTAGACTCTGTTGATTTATTATCTGATTGTGATTCAGGTGTTGATTTATTGTCTATTTTTATATTTCTGGACCTAAATCTTATATTTCTATCTTCATTTTTTAAATTTCGTCTTTCTATTTTAAATGTATATTTGATACTTCATAAGAGGTAATATCTTTGTAAAAAAATATATTGTTTGTATATCTTGTTTCTTTCTTTTTTTGTCTTGAAGCAAACTACTGTAAAGTTATGCTTCTTGAGTATATAGGAATTTTTGGATATATAGCATGCCTTAGCTTATGTATAATTTAATGCTTGGACTATTAGACTGATATAGGTTTTGTCAGTATCTAGGAGTCTTGCTGAGTTGTCATTTCTTTTAATTAATATCTGATTGATTTCATTATCGCTAAGTTCAGATTTGGAGAATATAGCTCTTGACATTTTTGTATTAATTGGAGTTATCCAAATTTCTTTAGGATTTAGGCTGAAATATTTGTGCTATTTGATATAGGCTTTCACCCATGGTTTTGTATTTATCTCATAAATATGAATGTTTTGGACTTCTCCATATCTTTTTAAATATGCTTTTATGAGGTTCTTAGTGTTTTTCTGGTCCAGGTTTACCAAACATGCATGCCAGATGGTACTGTCTTCTTTAGTTTTGGATTCTTGAAAAACTTTTCTATCTATGTTTCTTTCTGTCTTTTGTTTCTTGTAAGTAATCAATAGTGTTATATTTTGGATAGTGAAGTTGTCTTCCTTTCGGTTGACTTCTTCAATACATCTTATGACATCTTCTTTCTCTTGTACCCAAAAAACTAACCACTCATTTCCATTAATAAAAATTTTTTATAACAGGTTTCTTTTTTCTTATGAAAGTTTAAAAGTATTGCTTAGATATGCCTTGGTTTCATTTTCTGTTTCTCTTGGAATATTGACCATTATTGTACCCAATCTATACTCTTCTTTTTTTTTAATGAAGTAAGGATTCGTTGGTGATATCATGTCTCTATTACTGATAATATAAGAGCTATATTCACTAATGTATTGTTTTTTAACTATTTCTTGGAGTTTTTGTGATTCCAGTTCTTCGATCTCCTATGCACATATTATTGTTACTTCATTATCTATTGTTAATTCATTATCTTTTTATTCAATGATCTCATTGGTTGTCATTCTGATTTATATTGACTTTTAGGATTATATATATATTGCAAAAGCTTAGTAGCTTGGTTTAAAAGATATATTGTTTTTTCTTGTGTATTTGATCAGGTTTGCTTTTTTCAAAAAATTACAAAAAAAGAAATTTTTTAAGAAAAAGGAGGATCAGCAGAAAAAGTTTTTTTTCACCATCAGGTACATATTATACAGACTAATTTAATAAATATAATATAAAAATTTGTAAAAGTTTAATACTAAATTAGTCTGTTTCACCATCAATGACTATATATTAACTATTTAATCCCTAATTGGGTCTACTTCACTTATAGAATAGTAGCAGATCTACTTAGAAAAAAATCACAATAAGTTATCATTAATTTGTATATATATAGAAATATATAATTTGTATAAAATAATTGATATTATGCCTAGGATTTCATTATTCAAGATATTAAGTTAATTCTTAATAAAAGTGCTTACATCTAATACCAGTTGCAGTTTAAAAAAATAAAATAAAATATATAACTTGTAATAAAAAAAAGCAAATTATTAAATATTTTTAATATTTAAAAAAATAGATCTAAAATAATTTTACAAAAATTTTGATATTTATTACAAAAATATAAAAAAAGTATTAAAAGAAATAGAATAATTAAATAAAATTTTAAACTAATCAAAATATATTAAAGTTTATAATAGAATTTGTATATTTTAAAAATAGCTAAATTAAAATATAATAAAAAAAAATTTTAAAAATAAAGTAAAAAAATAAATTTAATAAATATAAAAAAGATTTATAATGGTTTCAAAGAGAAAATATAAAAAATATAATATAAAAAGATTATAAAATAGAAGAATATAAAATCTTAAAAAAATAAAATTAAAGATTAATTAAAATATTTTTATAAAAATTTTTTTATAAATATAGTGTTACTTAAAGAATGAAAAAATTAAAATTAAAAAATAAAGTTCATATAAAAATCTTAATAAAATATGTATGTAAAATAAAAAATAAAATAGATAAGATTTTGATTTCAATTAGAACTTAAAATAATCAGCAATAATAATCTATAAATAATAATATTAATAATTAAAAAGATCTTTATCTAAATTATTAGTAAAATAAAAAATCACTTTTAAAGTTTTATTTAGAGTTAATGTTAAATCAAGACAAGTAAATTAGTTAGAAATTTCGTTTTAACAATATATTAAAATATATAATTTACTTTAAGTTTAATAAAATATATTACTAGCTAACAAAGAATAAAAAAAAAATTAAATTAAATTAGCTATTATATAAATAATTAATGTAATATTATTATATTAATGTCTCAGTAAAAAAAATAGTATAATTGTGAATTTTTTTTATTTTTATCAATAGATTTAATTTAAATTATTATTAGATAAAATAATTTTTTAAAACAGTGATTTTAATAATAATTACAACAAATGGTTTTAAAGATTTAAGTTTAATCACATTTTTTATTACCGTTCCGGAATCATCAATTCCATACTCTAGTTTATTTAATATGCTCAATTACAGTAAATTGAAAAATAAAAATTTAATTTTAATATTCAAATAATACAAATTTTTCTAACAATATATCCCCATCAGTTTATATTTAATACATGTATTTTTTCATGATAAAACTATACATTATTCTATCCTTTGAAATAAATATAAAAATGTCAGAGTATTCTTAGCGAGGAATCTTGAGGCTATACTTGTAGCTGTTATTGATTTCTGCGGTCACTTTTTGATAAATCCAAATTGTCCAAAATAATGGATGAAGAACAAGATCCCAAACTTTGAATATGGAATCCACGAGTCTCTAATCAACCTACTCACATTCCCTGCACAGCTTAAATCCCCCACGACGCAAGCAAATCGTTTTCATCTTCATTAATAAAAGGTTTCTCAATTGTTTTAATCATAATGTCTCCACATAAAATACATTCAGATGCAACCAAATCGTCCAACTCATCCTTTAATTATCAAGATTTAAAAAAAAAATTTTTTTTTAAACATTTATGATATTGCGTTATAAAATTACCGAATATTCTAAGATTGTAATATACCTTCAATTGGTCTAATTTTGGAACAACCACTGCAACATCATCACCACTGTGAGTTGTTGCCTCGGGTAATATCAGTCCTTTTAATCGATCAAGTCCGCCTGGTGCGGACGCTCGTACACGCGCTGCGTTGTCAGGTGCACGATTCACATTAGATAATTCCTTTTCTATTTGTTCTCGGAGATCCAATATTCGACGAAGTTGAATATTATTAAGATGCTTAGTGACCTGGTAAAAGAATCATAATTTTAGCATAAATGTCTATTGGAGAAGAAAAGATGCCATTAAACATACTCGATTAAGCAGACAATCAGCATGAAAAGCATGTTGACAAGGGAATACATAAAATTGTCTTGTCAGAAGTGGAAAATCACATATTGCACATTTTTCTTCAGAAGTAACAATCGCAAAGCTATTAAGAATTATTGCCAACTGAGAATTTGTGCACTAAAATAAAAAGTTATCGTCATAAAAAAATAAAAGACGACTAACCGACAACGCAACTCTCTTATGTCTGAGCGAATACTTTCGGCACTTTTTGTCGCTTCTTCCATCTCTTCTTTTAATTCTTCGATGTGTTTGTTGTACTCATTCAGGGCTAGGCAAATCTCACTCTACAAAATTGATGAATTAGATCTTAATTTAATGAGCGATGCAAAGGATAACGACATGAAAAGTCGAAAGTACCTTAAAGTCGTCAATAAGGACAAAGTCAGGGAAAAATGGTAGAATATCTTCGATCTTAAGCAAATCGCATAATTGCAAATAATCCATTGCACTTTAATAGGCAAATAAGAAAGAAAGCATTATTCAGTGAAAATTTAATTGACAGCAGTAAACAAACAAATTACGTTTTGATGTCCTGTTTCTTTTCAACGACATGTCGCGCTATTTTGAGCCATAACTTTTTACGAAGTGCAGGATCATCTTCTGGCTTATCAGCGTTAATTCTGGCAAGTTCCAAATCATTTTGCTAATAATTTGGGAATAAGATATCAGTGATCTATTTAAAAAAGCACTTGGATCATTGGATTCAATAAAAGAAAAGAAAGACTACCTTCAATGCCAAGTCAACTGCCTCTTCAAACAATCCCATATTACTGTATATGTGTACACAACTCTGCATTCTTTTATGCTGACTACAAAGTCTCAATGCGTAATCCATATTATAATGAGGTTCTTTTCCCTTAATTTTAAGAACGACGTTAATTAAATGCCAAACAATTCCGTTGATATCCCAACGCAAACCATCTTTCTTACCTCCGTTGCCAAAAACTTTAGCAAATCAGACTCATCATTAGTGGGTTGAGTGGCATATAAGGTAAGGAGAAAGTTGTGAATTGCAGGGTCGATGTTTTTGAGCTTTTGCACCACGTACTGCAAATATCGTATCGCTTGATTCTGAATAAAGATTTTATCAGAAACATGTGCTTGATTTACCACGAGAACAAAATAAAATAAATCGTACGGCTTACTTGAACGACATTTTCAGGGGCCTTCGCATGATCGTACTTTAACAATGCTGGCATTAAGTTTCTAGGATTGAGATTTGTTTGTCGCATCCAAACATCGACTGTTTCATATGGTGCATTTTCCATTAGGACGGGAGCAAATTTGTAGAATATATCAACTGACGCCTAGAAAAAGCTCATTTGATAAATATTATTGATCCTTGTAATAAATTAGCATTAAAAATTAGATCAAGACATTACTTGTTTGCTAAGCACGTCTAAGGCCTGCTTATAGTTCCTTTCTTGAATCCAATGTGAAATAACTTTATCATAGTCACCAATCAAGGTAGCATAGTACAAAAGCTCCTCGGTGCGTCCGTGGCTCGCGATAAGATTGTATGTCGTTCGTTTGTCTAGATTTCCCTTGGATTTTAAAAAACGACTATAAGCACCATTGTATACTTAAGAATTGGATATATGTTAGAAGTAAAATTCTTTTTTACCTTAAATTGTTCAAGAAATTCTTTAAACTCATTTTCTAGTACTTTCTGTTCCGCCCTGAAATTGCTGATATCCTCAGAACTAGCACTAGATGCCGCTAAATCTTCAATCGTGTTTATTTTACTGATATATATCTCAACAAGCCAAGTAGCAATCATTGTCTTTTGTGTTAAATCCTAAGAGGGTTATCGCATGAAGACTATTTAACTTACATCATTTAGGTAATTAATTTTCATCAACTATAATATTTTCAGATATATTACTTGGCGCCTAAGTTTCTCCAGCTTTTTTAACAAATAAGTTCTTAATGCATCCCTTTCGTCTCGCTCAACAAATTTAAGTGAAACCTCTTCGAATGGCACAGTAGATTGCGCATAATAATTTGCTGATAGAAGAAAACGACCTTGAGAAAAGTAATGATCGGCTCGAGTAGTAAGAACTTTGTCACGTTGCGCAGGATTCTTAACATTATTGCAATGCAAATTATTAATCACAAAAATGGAAACAGCCAGGAAAATATCAAATCAGAAATAATTGTTGTACCTTGCAATATTGTATTGCATTGTCAAATTGCTGCTTTTCCAAATACAGCTTCCATACATCTCTATCCTCCTTTGTAACAATAAGTTCGAATATTGATGAGTCAGTATAAATCCAGAATGTGCTTTTAACATTATCCACTGTCATCGTTCGAACGGTCTCTCCGGGTTTCTGAGGAACATTGAATAAATTATATGAAATCAAAAATAATAAAAAAATCTTTTTTCGCCAAAAACTATGCCTACCAATGGAATAATCTCTTCGTAAACGATCTGATCGTTTAATTGACATATTGCCCTAACACGTTCCTTATATAGCAAGATAAAATGAAATTCCGTGAGAGCTATAGATAATGGAATTTCTGATACTAATGTGGAGGGATCACTTTCTGCCGGTGTAGCAGGGTATCTTAACGACAAGACATATTATATAAGACTATTTTTCTCTCGGACAATTGGAGAAGTAGGTATGCCGAAATACATACGGTAACAGTTGGGCACTGTCAATGACGCGATCACCAAAATCTTGAGATCCAAATACGAGACTACCATGATAAATTCCAGGACCTATTTAAGCAATCGCTAGTAAAGAAAATCTATATGACTCGATCGACACTCTGGAGATTATTTTTTAAAACACAGTCCTACCGGTCAACCACGCGAAATTTTTAGCTGATCCTTGATAATGCAAATCTTGATATTGTGAAAAGAAATGTAACTCGCTGTACGGCAAATCTCCCGGAAGCTCTTGAAAATCTTTGAACAGAATCGCAAAAATAAGAGAATGTTATGTTTCAAAAATTTCCATATTCAAGGTACAATACCTGGACTTGTCTCATATCTTGAGAAAAGATTTTCAAACACTGAACTACCGTCAAAATCTGCTGCAGTATTAGCATTGCCTATGAATTGATATATTCTCGTGGGAGTTGTTGCCACTATTAAATATTTTCTTGGGCTAGCTGGAAATTGTTCAATACGAAGACCGGTAATAGGAAGGCTCTCATTTAAGGAGTATACCTATTTAAACACGGACATATAAGTTAGAATCAACATTAGAAATAATAAAAATTGTACAATGTAAAGCAATGAATAGCCTAACGGAACCTGTTTACAGTATTTCTCTTCTTTTTTAAAATATTCATCAGTTGGCTCTATTTCAGCTTCGTAAATAATACCATTACGACTTCCGATAAGAATCTTTTTGGTTGAAGTGTCAGATGAAGATCCCGCGGATTTATTCCAGCCCACTGATTCAATTATTATACCCTAAATTCCGCCGGACATAGGTTAAAAATCCGAATTCGACAGAAATTTGTGAAAATTAAGAAAATCACTTAATGTACCTTAAACTTCGAAAGCACTTTGGCCTTTTTCCATTTTTCAAACATATAAAAATTTTCCCCTTGCTCAGTAGTAATGAGCAAGTGTCGACCGGTAGGATCAAAGAAAATCTTATAGATTTTTACTTCACCAGCCTTGCGTGGAATTTCGATATCTAATAATCATCATGTTATTTAAAATTAAAAATAGATAGAATTATTTAAAAATGGATTCATGGACAGAAAAAAAAAAGCACCGAATAATAATTGAAACAAAGATATGCCGGAGGATGAGCTTAGAAAATACAATGAAAGTAAAACCATATGATTTTTCTAAGATTAGAGTTAATATCAACCTGAAAAAATGATTTACCTTCAACGTCGTGCGCTTGTTGTAAATCAATTCTCAGAATGTGATTGGTTTCTAGAGCCATTATAAGAATTTCATTTGACACTGCCATTGCTATCAATGCAGCAGGGAACTGGAATTGAACACGATCTAAAGTAAATATGCGAGAATCATCTTCAGCCAGTCCGGTGCTGACAAACCCAGTTTCCAACTAGAAAAACAAGTAATTATTCAGCAAATATTCTCTAAAAACTTAGAGCCAAAGTAAAATATTCAAAATTCGCAAACCATGTGAACCGGATCGGAGGATTCGAATCCGTCCGGATCCAAAAAAAAGTTGTTCACACTTCCAGAATACGACTGTGCTGAAAAATCATTTGAATGTTCAATGAAATCGTCAATTAACGACATATTTGATTCAAGCTACGGAGAGATCTAAAACCGAGGGACGAACAAGGTCGTATTGTACTAGTATATAGTACATTTCTGATCCTGCATCCTGTGACGATCTCGTTTCTCACTGCCAAATCGAGTAATTGACAACGGATCAAATGCCAATGGCAGAAATGCACGAACGCGTATAATTAATCATTTTTCTCATAAAACTTTAACTGCTCAAGTACTACCACAGCACTCAAAAGAAATGCACATACTTTTCTCCTTGATTAAAAACTATTTGATTCCTACATTCTTGGTTGAGTCATGCTCTTACCTTTTTCATTTTCTAGTTTGGATTTATTTTTGTGGTGCAGTTTATCCTATCCCTTACCTTGACCCAGTTTTCAATGAACATATTCCCCCGCCAAAAAAGCCAACAACCTGGATCGGAGCTTTTGTTTTAATTCTCATTTTCATGACAGCATCAATATTTGGTACTTCGGTGCACGGAAAGAAAGCAATCAAAGCAGGTGGTGGTGGGGTAACCAAAACAAAAATGATTAAGCATTTGGAGAAGACAATAGAAGCACAAGCTTGTCAGAAGCGTAAAATGGCAAAAGCTGTCAAATATTATGAGCAAGAGTTGGAGAATGTAAAAAGATTTCATCAAATTATGGTCGAAATCATGGCGGAGGATATAGCAAGTTTACGAATGGAGCTTAATGTAATTATGATGTTCGCACGGGGTAGTTTTTATTGGCTGGAACAATTCTAATTATTTCCTTTGATTAATTTTCTAGGAAATTCGTGAAGAACGAGATCTTTGGATCAAAGAGATTAATGAGATCCCAGCTTTTCGATGTCGAACTTTCGAACAGGAGACGGAGAGAAAAGGCGCGGAATCTTGGAAAGATTTTGGTTCTTGGAGGGGCGTCGGGTCCTGGGAACTTTCTGATTTTATTAGTGTCAAGTAACCATTAGTTTTACGCATATAACAAATTTGCATTAAAAATAAAATAATTCTCTCGGGCATAAATTTCAATTGCATTAAATCAAGAACCTTACGTCATCCGTGCTAGCGTACAATATATAGACACATTTATTACCATTCTAGGTGCTTGTACTACATTTATGCAGAGACGTGTCCAAGGATTGATTTACGTAAACTACATATAAGGTGCCTCCCACAATTTTTGCATCTGTGTGGTAGATATACACACTTGAAAATGCTATTCTCGGGTTATAAATTGGAAATTTTGGTCGACGACAGACCTCTCGAAGAATGTTTCGAATACATCGAAAAAGGGAAATCTGTAAATAAATTTTCTATTTTTTCCCATTGCCTTAAGAGAAAGTCACATTTAGAGACGCGACATTTCACTATCTAAATGACGCGTTACTATCCCTTATTATGAATTAGACAACCACGGGTCCTTCGTATATCTATAATGAGTTGACTATGCGAAAAACGGAAAGGTACTGTGCCAACAAATATTTAGTATTACAATCAACAGAGATCCGTTATAACTGGGAATATTTATTTAAATTAGCAATCAAACGTATTATGCGGTAGTCATGGACCCTAGCGCGCGCTTTAAGATTCGTTACGAGGTTCCCGTCAATTCGACCTTACCTGGTCCAATAATGGCCATTGTTTATGTCGACGGTCAATATGATTATACGTATGTTCCCATAGTCAGGCATGAAGAAAGAATTCAAATTAAAGATGGATTTACCCATGTAGCAAAAAATATGAAATATCAATTCAAATTTGACCTCATGCCTCGGAGGGAGGACGATAAGAAACATACCACAGCTACGAATGGATTTGACGATACGGAATTTCATATTCCAAAAATAGGGGGTCTCGGAGCTGTATCTGTCTGTTTCTATCGGGCAGAACACCATTACCAAAAGGTTAAACCGATAGAATATGACATTAAACAACCGGAAATCCCCGAGAAAATGGAGGATCTAAATTTAGAACCTCGATTTGCTACCTCCTTTGATGAGACACCTATTCCCATTACTACCCCCTTAGAATCCGTCTTAAAAAAAAAGTCCGATCGACCGCTGGCCGTAGTTCACTTACATTATCGTTCAAAGTCTTGGTTAATGGATAGAAGCATTCCAAAAAATTTACAAGAATCATCTCTCAAACACGAAGTTTTATCTGGCTCATTGCTACCGCCGCCTCTATCTTCTATGTCAAAAAATTTTACACTACCTTGCCCGAGTAAAGTTCTCTCATCACCCATCGTTAATGTCTTGAGAGAAACTAACACTCTTGATTCAGCAAACAATATTTCTAATGTTGGTCAGGGCGATGCATTAGAAAGAGATAATAAAAAGTCGAAGAATTGTGAAAAAGTTCAAAACACTCTCGAAGCCAAAGATAAAATTAATGACAATGAGAATAATAATCTTGGCGGTGCTAATGATTCTGCCGAGAATGAGGGAACTTCTGGTGATACTAAAACTTTGACTAAGGCCAACTTAAAAAAGTGGTGGAGCAGATGGAAATCCTCGGCGCGTAGTGAAAATATTGATCCGGGACAGAGGAAGCCCAGAAGTGAGATATGCGAAGAGAATGAAATATCATCCGTATCAACACTAGATGGATGTGATAAAAAGAAAAAGAGAAAATTCACCGATTCTAAAGAAATTTCGGTGATATCATCCAATTGAAGAAATCTGTTGCATAAGGTACATATGATATTAATTTATTCTCATAAATCCTGCCTTCTAATAATTAATCTGACATTACATACCGACATTACCTCGTTAGAACTCAGAAATAAATTTATGAGATAATAGGAGAATTCGTGAGATAAAAAATTATTCTTTTTTACGAATACAGAATGTTTTTAAAATAATAATTTCTTTGGTAATGAATTACCGTTGGTATTCCATTATTATGATGCCTATAATTGGCTAGTGATCCTGGAACGTAGATCAAAACAAATACTCTCAAGTTATTACATTGACACGTAAAATGGCTGTCAATTTTCCTCGTGCAACGTTTAAAAAAATTATTAAATCTCATTACAATAAAGCTCTAAGCAAGAATGTTGATGTCATGGTCTGCAAATCTTCTTTGATATTCGACTTGAACCCATTATTTTTTATAAACCTTCCTAATTTTACATAGCTCTGCCTGGAATGCGTTTTATTCCTTCAACGTTTGGCCAAAGAAGCTGGCGAAGAAGCAGGCGAAGGCAACGTAATCGAACGGAGGCACATTGAAACTATCTTAGAAGTATTTAACACCTATAACTACTCTCTTTTCTTTGCGTCACGTAAAAAAAAGGTTTAATAATATTTTGTTTACTTCGATAAATAGAAGGTATTACAAGAATTCCAAGGATAAGTGATCTTGAGTACGCTGACAAAATAAATTATTGTAATAAGAAATAAATGAAAAATTTGTTTACTATGTACAGACGGGGGTGATAATTGTGTGTACGTATTATTATATTAAATAAAATATGCAAAGTATGCATGCTATGGATAGACTTTTTTCACGTAGAGAAGTTCGCGAAACTCATTTACACTGATTTTTTAATAAGGTTAGTTATGTGTGCTTTATTAAACATTTTATAAACTGTACATATATTTATGCATCATTAAGGTTAATTCTCTAACTAACCCACTTATCTTTGTTTAAATATTCTAAGTGCAACTTTGAAAATGATTTATCACTTCATTAATACTGTAGTTCAAATAAATACTCTTTTAACTAATAGCATCGCTACCTGTAGGTCAATCACTTTATCAAGTTTTAAAATCCAATTGCTTTATTCTATACATAAAGCAAAATAATTTTATAAATCTTTAACTTTATTACTTTTATAAATATCTTGACTTTATTTTCAAAATTAATTGTAAATTTTTTTTTGCATTGTTTAATTAATTAATTAATTTTTTTTTTTTAATTCTCTGTCAGACTAGTTATGTGTGTTTTATTAAACAATTGTAGGCTGTATATTGATACAGTAAGTGATGTTAAAACTAAATCTTTAACTAATTCACTCATCAAAGTTTTTATCTAAAACTCTAAGTGTAATTTCAGAAATGATTTTTTACTTTATTAGTAATTCGAGTAGAAATCCTTTCAACTTTTAACATTATCATCCACAAGTTACTACATAAATTACTTCATGAAGTTCTGACAAAGATCAAAATCCAACTATTTTATTCCATATTTTTTATGAGTTCTACAAGGTTTTTGTTTTCACTCTTTTTTCTTTTTTCTTTTTGCCTTATAGTTTCATGTTTGAAATTATCTTGCAAAACATTTTGCCTTCTTACTTTCTAAACTTTTTTATATGTTTTCTTCTATTAATTCTTTGTTCTTGATTTCATTCTATAATTTTTTTATACCTTATATTTCAAACTTGTTTATGAATCTGATTACAAGTCTTCTTTTGTACTCTTAGAATCCATTTTTTTATCATTGTTCCTAGCTTCTTATCATAACAATTTAGATTGACAGTTTCTTTAATCATATTATTTTCAACTAATCTTGTACAAAAACTAAGTATGTTTAAACCAGTTTTCAAAACTGTTTCTATAAGTCTAGAGTCCTATTTATCTATCTCATCTTTCTTACTTCTACTATTAATTAATAGTTGTACTTTCTTTTCATCTACTTTCTTTTTCCTATCTCAATATCATTTGCCAAATTTTTTGAGAACTGTTTCAGATCCTTTTTGTCATACTGTCAAAATCTTATTTTTGTAATCAGGATATTATAGTAAATATTTAATTATCATCTTTTACTGATTGCATACTATATATCTTGTTTGCTTGTAGACCTGTAGATCTATAGCACAGTGGTAGTGCTTCCAGGTTACCAAGCACTGTTTTCAAGTTTAATACTACTGCGAGGCAGTATCACTTAAGCCTAGGTAATATAAAAAGATCCTGTCTGCTCCATGACAATGATCTAATCACCTCTGACCAAGACTCCATCCGATCACGAGGTAACCAAAGATCACAAGATGTTTAAGCCAGTTTTAATATTGAAATCACCTCATCATTTGATAAGTTTTAACAAGCTCCTGCAAATAAGTTGAAGATCTGCATGTTATAAAAAGTAGGAGACTAGCGGAGCTTAAGCACGTTAGTTAGAAGAGAGTCTCTATTAAATCGAAATCTGTTCAAGACTTTACGTGATTACTCCATAGGCAGGTCATAATACAGTAAGTCACGTAAAAAGAGTTACCGGCAGAATGAGATGACATCTAAGACTTTATATAGGTATTCTGTAGATATATTGTAATAAGTACTATAAAAAGAATACTTAGCAGGACGAGATATAAAAGGGGTCCTATACTTTGACACAATGGGAAATTGGGAAGGAGTATAGACATAAGTAATTAGGTAGTAGGACCTTTTCTGATAACAAACCACATGGATGGGGCCACCTGTCAATGAACACTTTAATAAAGTAGGCTCATGTAAAATGGATCCTATAAATGATCTAATGTATAAGCAATAGCTGTATATATAGAAAGAATCTATATATGGCTATGATCACACCTTTATTGATGTTGAGCTTTGTTATCCCTTAATAAAAAAAAAAATCTTGCTTGTTTGTATAAATCAGGTCCTCTTATTATCAGTTTGCTTAAAATAGGTAGTTTATTATTGATCAATTTAATCAGAAAGTTTCTTTTTTGTAAATCTTTGAAGAAAGTATCACATATATTACCATTCTTTAACCTATTTCATGTGTTACCATTCTTTAATCTATCTTATATTAGATCTTATTAATAGATTTGATGTTTTTAAACTTGATAATGCTATTTTATCTCTGTTTTATATTGTATTATTGTATCTATAATAAGGTAATTAATCTCTTGTTAAGTTATTTAATAGACTGTTAGATTGGACTATCTATTATATTCTTTTGCCACAATATTTTAATAAGATCTTGCTTGATTTAAGGCTATTCCATTTTATTATTGAAAACTTTAATACCTCTTTAGCCAATCAGTCTGTTTCTTTATTCCATAGATTATTAAAATAGACTTTGACTTTAATTAAGATTAGTTGAATATACTTTTTCTTTACAAGATCTAGTATTTTTACCTATAATAATTAGTTTGTTTTTTTTTAACTATCTTTTGTTTGTTATTTTGAAATCTTCTTTCTTGAGCTTTTTTCATTTGAAGATACAAACTTGGTTATTAATAAAAATTTTCATTATACTGTCTATTGAATCCACTAAAACTATTGTAATTAGGATTACCAATTCTACTCTTATGAATAAGGACTAATTTTTTACTTCTGTTTGGAATTTACTTTCATTTCCAGCTTTTTCAGTCTATATCTATGCTACTCTATTCATATATTTTCATTTTCATAATTGATCAAGAATCCATCGGAATAAAAAATTAGTTTTTTCTATAATCCTTAATTATATTAAAAATTTTGAATAGATGATTTTGATAACTTCTTACTTAATGTTGTCTTTAAGTATTTCTTGTTTCCAATCTTTTATTAATATTTGTTTCATTTTTTCAATTTAATTATTTCTTAGGTCTTGAGTTTTTAAGGCTATACTTGTTATCACTATTCTATTAAGCTCAAATAAAAGATAGAGAATTTTCAATAATTGAACTTTTCTGATATTTTTCTAATAGTTTAAAAATGGTATAGTATAAATTATATCTGATTCTATTTCTATATTACATTTATTTCTATTTCTATTATTTAGGGAATATTTGAGTATTTAGTGAGAATTGTTTCTAGACCATTTTCTGTTTTTTAATGGTTGAAGTGACAGATTATAGCTATACCTTGACTATTTTTTAAGATTAGTTTTCTCCACACTATTTATTAACTCTTTTTCTGAGTAACTATCCAGGTTTTTTTTCTTTTATCTCTGCTAGGTCTAAGTTTACTATATTTTGACATCTATTTTTTTTTTTATTTCTTTTTCCAAAATTTTGTAAGATCTTCTGTACTTTCTTTGATTATAGTTCTTTATAGTGTATTATACTATCCTGGGATTGGGACCTTGTTTGTATTTTGAATGAGTTAAACTATTTTCCACTTTCTAAACTCTACAGGATTTTGGTTTATTAATTAATCTATATATATTAACTTATTATATCTTAAAGATAGTATTATCTTTCTATATTCTTCAGGTGTTAAATATTTCCAAATTGAACTGTTGCCTTTGATTTATTCAAAGATATCATTCTATTTTCAACTCTGAAAAGTTAATCCAAATTCTTGACTTACTTTAGTATCTGTAATATAAAATTTTTTTTATAATTGAGATAATATAGAAATTTATATAAAAGAAGATTATGAGGTTCTCAATATTTAATCTGTACTTGTTTCAATCTAATAATTGTAATAAATCCTGCTAAATCTTAATCATTTATTCTATTATAAAGTTCTGTAATTTGACTTTCTTTTTGAAACATCCATATATTTTTGAGATTTTATATCTTGAGATAATGAATTATACTATTAGGAATAAATTTGTTTTTGTTTTTGAAAAGTTTGCAATATACTACTGTTAATAAGTTATTGCATATTTTTTAAAACAATATGCTATGTTGTATTCTGAACTTTATTCTTAGAATCAGTACTTTATTTAGTATATAAAGGGTTTTCTTATCAATTATCTTTTTATTTTTGAGAACTTTAATAATAATATTGATTTCTTTTAATATCTTTTTTTGAGTTTGATTGCAGTTTTCTAGTTGCTTGTTCAAATTCCTTAAAATCTTACTTGCTCTTCATTATCTAGTTCTTTAATCACTTTTTTGTTAATTCCTATATAAACTTCTTCTGGATAGTGATTAAGATTGTTAATAGTAACTAATAATAATTTACTACTATTAATTTGAAAGTCATTTGCTTTATAAAAGATTCTTGCTATTTCTAGGATCCTTTTTATGTCCTCTTTAGACCTTGCTATCCAAGTAGTATCATCCATAAAAGTTATAATTATATGTCTTAATTCTAGACTTGTATTGATATTACTGTTTAAATGAAACTACTATTCTATATTCCTTTTCTTTGTCTTCTTGGATTTTACATAGCAAGAAATTATAGAAAATTCTTTATATCAATAGTAAAATAGTTTCTCTTTGATTAATTCCATCTCCTGCCCTTATTAATTCTGTGAGATCATTCCCAAATATTACTTTGAACTTCTTGTTTTGGAACAGACTTATCATTATTTTAATAAATCCTTTA